GAACTTTGATAGAACTCAATATGCTACTTGTTTTCTATGGGTAAGTTGATGCTCCCCCGCCCTTCACTGCAATGAACAACTAAGAGTTGAGGCCATATAAGTTGCAACACAAAAAAATTCATTATCAAGCTGTTCCCGACTAAAACAAATGACCTAGAGGTAAATGGCTTCTGAGCTCATTAACCTTGAACCATCTAATCTTTTGTTTATGGTTTCTGCTTTCAGTGAAGTTCAGCATCACCCTTACCTGAGCAGAAATCAAATAGAAATAATATTATGAGATAAACAAAAGAACCAGTATGTACTTTACCATAAAGCAAGTAAAAAAACACCCCAGAATAAATTATAAATATTACATACACAATGCAGATGTTTGTTTATTGAATCTGTGACATTAATTCAATTTAATTCTGCTCACTTCAAATGAGTCTCATGATTTGAGGGACTAACTCCTATAATTCTGATTGAGTGGCCTCTAGGTTATTTCAATTGGGAGATTTATAAAACTGTGTGTTTTAGCTGCTTTGTACAGACTGCTGCTCTCATCAACATGACTTGAGAGGTGTGTGTGTGTGTGTGTGTGTGTGTGTGTGTAAAAACTCCTTCTGCGATGACCCTGACAAACACATTGAATTCTGAGACTTCCAAGGGTTGGGAAGTTTATGACAGAAATGCATACACACCCACATCCCAGTACTTTGCTTACTGCCATTGAACAGGGATTGACTTTGAAGGAAGCAAGATTCTATCAAATGAGAGACATTTGGGAAATGATTGTTGAATCAAATATGTCTAGAAACATTTGAGGACAAAAGTAGGTGTTATGGGAGCCACCGATCACCCTCTATCCTTTCCCCTGGACTATAGTTCAGTGGTAGAGCTCACGCTTTCTAGGCAGAAGGTCCCAAGTCCAATCCCTCATGTCTCCTGTTAAAAGGGCCAGGAAACAGCAAGTGGGAAAGACTGCTCTGCCTGAGTTGCTGGAGATCCTCTGCCAGTGCAAGTACTGGGCTAAATGAACCATACATAGTCTGGCATGTTATGAGGCAACTTATTCCATGTTCTATGATAGCATTTGCCAACCTTGTGCTCTCCAGATGTGCCTCCAAACTGGCTGGGGCAGATGGGAGTTGTACTCAAAAACATCTGGAAGGCATCAAGCTGGCAAAATATATTTTATGGTATAAGAGCATGTCCTACAACTGTTACTCTAAAATGTACAGTGTGCCATGATGCCACCATATAGTGGTTTCATCCTCCCCTACAAGTAGCATCCCATGAAGCCGTGTGGGCAGGGGAAAACACACAAGGCGAGGCTTTTGGTGGTAGCAAAATAGCTTTCATAACACCTTGCTCTGGTGCTTGTGAGCAGTGCTGAACTACACTACTTTCCCTCTTCCCACAGCATAATTGAAAATTCAAAAACAAATGCTTCTTCAGCAGAAAAGGCTATCTTCTTGAGACACTCTGCATTTAGCATTTAAATTGGCATCTGAGAATTGGTTATACTGAAATCTCCAGGGTGCCATTCTGTTTTGTTTTAATAAAGCTTTCCAAGGTATTAATTCTTTCCAAGGTATTAATTCGTAGACAAACATCAGGAAAGAAAGGAGGAGGACATCAAATGGGGGAGCTGAGAAAACTGGAATCACAAAGAGAGTATCTGACAATGGCCGGTGTGGTGTGGTGTTTAGTGTTAGATTAGGACCTGGGAGACCAGGATTAAACTCCCTGCTTGGCCATGAAAATCGCTGGCTGTCCTTGGTCCAGTCACTGCCTTTCAGTTTAACCTACCACACAGGATTGTTGTGGAGCTTAAATGATATGGAGAGAGAACCATGTAGATCACCTTGAGTTCCTTGACTGGCAAACTGCCTTGCAAAATTCAGAAATGTGTGAATTTTGAAGGATGGCTGTATTTTAGTTCTTGCGCTTTTTTGGAAAGCCCAGATTACAGCAGTTCACCTATGAATGCAAAGTGAATTGACTTTCTTGCAAAAAAATCCCTCTTCTCCCAGGCCTTTTCAACTGTGTGTGTGTGTGTGTGTGTGTGTGGTAGGGGCTTATTGTTTGTTACTGCATCATGTTTTTTCATCACCATCATTTTCAAATACAATTTTCTTTTCACATTAATTTTGGAGAATGGCTAAAGAAAACCACAGCAGAACTTCACTACAGCAAGGCTGGGATCTGCTGCCTGACTCTTCATGAAGATACAGTTTCTAGATGCTATGATGCCCCATTTTATCTCTATTGGCTGTGGATTTGGCAACACCAACAGAGCGGAAAAAGCAGTCCTTTTTCATGCTTACTGCTTTCATGAATTTAGCATAGCGTTTATGTAGCTTGAAGTCACTTATTGCTTCTGCTATGAGAAAATCCTTCCAACTTTAATTGTCAAAGCGGTTAAGAGCTATTACAGAAATTCAGTGTTTTTCATCTACTTTAGTTCATCCTTAAGCTACAGGATGAATGCCAGCAGAGTCATTGTTTTGAACTACTATAGCCAAGATGTTGCAAGTATTGCAATTATCCATTTTCCTTGTGGTTTCTTTTCATTGGCATCCAAGCTCTTTGAATGATTGATGTGGTGATGTGCCATTCAGGATGAGCACAATGCAATTTAAAAACAACAACAACACAACAACAGAGGATGAAGTCAACAGGTGAATATCTATTACAACACATCTACCCATGTTACTTAAAATACACTTGCCTCTATCAGGTCTATCTGAAAACTCAGCATAGCTGTAATTGCTCTTTGACTCTGGAAGTTGCACCTTGAGTGGCTTTAGGTACCACATAATGAACCTTATACCTTATAATTATGAAACCACCAGATCTTGTAAGTCTTAATACTAGATACCTAATACAGGCCAATCCAAGATCTGCTCTGTTACAGCTCATAAGAGAGTGATCTCACATGACTGATGGGACAACATCCATTGGGGCAAGGAATTGTACCAATTGCTGCTGCTTCACCAACAATATGCATTCTTCTCCTTGCACTGCAGGAATGTTTCCCTGCTCTTGCTGTGAAAGACAGGGAATATGGTAGTATTCTTTTTGCCACTATTCCTGCACATTGAGCTAAACTGTATGATCAGAAGCACAGTTACTTCCATACCTGCCATTTTTTCTGAACCTCTGCTTGAATGGGGGAGATTTAGATTATGCTGTGGCTAACCTGTTGCATTGCAGTGTTTTCTGTGGTGTTGCTGCATCTTTCTGAAGAACTAGTTTGCAGTGATGTTTCTTACTTGAAATACATTTGTAGCATTCGCCCAGCCTCCTCCAACCTGTTGCCCCAAGGTGCTCTGGACTACAACTCTCATAAGCCCCAGCCACCACAGCCATATGGAAGAAGCAGAGGTGGCTGCATCAGCAGTGTTGGGGATTCTAGGACAGCATGGGATGCAATGCATATTTGCTGAGAATGAAGTCCCGTGCTCTCTCATGTCTTGCATAGGACTGTAGTCAAAATTGACCCAATGCAATCAGTTTGGATGGGATGGGAATTGCAAAAGGGTCTCTCCTGGTTCTTCCTTGTTTGCCCTCCCATCTCAACAATTAGCTCTGCACATGTTGCTCTGAAGAACTATGCAAGCTTTGGATGTCAGATGGATCTTTGGATTCTAGGATAGTTCACAGCAGCCCAAACAGGTTTGACCAAAATCCTCAGAAATGTTTGCCTATTTTTTTCTGAATGGCTGTTCCCTATTCAATCAAGAAGCTGGAGGTAGTTAGAGTAATCAATTTCTCCTTAGCTCATATTTACAAATTATAGGGGAGGTTCTATGAGTATATCTATGTATCTATCTATCATCTATCTATCATCTATACATTTGTCTTGCAGAATTTGCCTTGTTGTTGAGAGGTCTATCTGGGCATGAGACAAATAAGTCCCCGATGCTTTCTAGCCTGAAGGTAATTTCAACATGGAAGCTTCATAATATTTTACATATCCATTGCAAAGCTATTAAAGTAATCTGGCAAGTATAACAGGTGAATCATCTAGTGCTGGATGGTCTGATGAGATCTTACCAGTCTCAAGAATTGCATATGTTATGCTAGAGGACTCTGATATTAAAGAGGTGTTGCTAATTAAAACAGATGAGATTTAGTTATGCTGATGAGAACATGGTGTGAAATAGATATGATGAACTGAGAGCTGGGAGAATGTCATTGTGTCTACTGATGTCAATAGAAATGTGGTTATTAATTTTGCTGGACCAATGTTTACCAGTGAAGGCTGATGTTGTTTTCTGAACTGTGCCCAGAGAGATTTGTGAACAGAAATCAGTATGAATCATAATTTAAAAGAGACTTCCTAACTGAAACATAGGAATCATTTCTGTCAGGAATATGTGACAGATAAAATAAAAGATAATTTATTTCCTCTTCCAAAATGCTAACATTGCCCACCTGTAAATAAATGCCCATCTTTATTCATTCTGCTCTGTTAGATTCCAACTGAAGCCCTCTAAACTCTCTAAAGACATAGATGCCTCAAAGTGCCATGACTCTAACTTCCTACTTCACATCTTGCCTTATCAAGACTATATTATTTCTTTCTCAAGCAACTGCCATGAGGGAATTCAAATTATTTATTTAAAAAAAACCACAGGAAGCAAAGAAAAGCATTGTTTTAATTAGCATTCATAAACAGAAATCAGTGTTAAGCATTTTATGGCAATTCTGTGACGGTATTTAATCTGACATTTGAAGCAAAAATACCCAAAGTATTGTCCTGTTGGAAAACATTTAGACAGCAAAGATGGAGCAACAAACTGAGATTATTCAGCAACATGAAAGCTGGAATGCTAAGCATATAAATGTCCCAACATTTAACTTGACATTCAGCAGCTCCCAATAAGCATCTTTTAAAAAGCTCACTGTGGCTACAATCCTATGCACATGTACTGAGGAGCACTGAACAAGGTGAAACTTATTTGTGAATAAACATGCACAGAATCAGACTGCACTGCACACAAAAAATATGTGCTAAGAAAGATTGTTTAGGTAGCAAACAACACAGATAGATCGCACAACAAATTCTTTGACCATGCGATTTGCTTGCAACCAATATAAATATAGAAACACCTTTATCCTATATAGAACTTTATGCATATGAAAAATATGCTAAAATAAAAAATATATACAAATCTTACCAGAGTAATATTATATATATAAACCTTTTGTTTTTGTTTTGGTTTTTTTAAAAAATCACCACTCCATTGCTTGCCAACATACCGTATTAGAAGAGCAATCTCAGAAATGCCTTTATGATATAAACATTCATATAAATATCCTGTTGGTTAAAGATGGTAAAAAGTTCATTTTTGGCTGGGACCGCATGTGCTTGGCAAGATCTGTGGCAGTTAATAAATCTATTGTCTCTGTTTATAGCAGAGTAAATCTTACGTTACTTCTGTTTCCAAATCTATAGAGTCCTGAAATCAAATGAAGTCCTGATAATAGCAGGAAATATCTGATGCTATTATTCAGTATCGTGGATTGATATTGTAGGATTGAGAAATAATCTAATGAAGGTTGTTTATGAACTCAGAAAGAGACTATTCCTGCAGTTCCTGCTCATTATAAGAGGAACAACTGTTCCTCATCGTCTCTACACTACAAAGTTATGTTGGTTTTATGCTAGTTTCTACCAAAGACTCCTGTATAGCTGGGATAGGGAGCCTATGCTTTCCAGGTGCAGTTGGACTTCACTTTCCCTCAGCCCCCACGCAGCATGGACATAATCAGGGATGATAGGAGTTGTAGTCCAACGACATCTGGAAGGCCACAGGTTCTCCACCCCTGTTGCATAGTATGGGAAGGGGGTGCTGAGATAAATCACTAGGCCCTCTTATAGAATTTTTGTTCCTAGGGATTGCTGGGGCAAGAGAATAACTATTTTACCGATGTAAATATGTAGTCTTATGTCCTAAAGGTTCACACCTAATTACAATATCTCTGCAAATTGAGGAGCTGCTGGGAACAGTCTAGCTCCCGTAAAATTGTCATCAAAGAAGTATTCTTACATGATGGCATAATTATAAGTAGTTACCACAAGATCTATGTGACAGTGAAATAGCAGCATTAGTCAATGTGGATTACTTCCAAGAATTCCAAAGCAAGAAAGGTGTGGGACAAAATAAGAAACCAGAAAGGACTACAGCTAATTTAACCAGCTGAGGGCTTGAATTCGAGCCAACACAATAATTAAATACTAACACAACTGTCAGCCATTTTGTATGTAGCACAGAAGTTCTTTTAATTACCTTCTCATATTACATATTACAGAAGAAGGCGCATACAGTTTGCATGTAACGCTATCCAAGCCAAGGCTAGTTATAAATGACTGAAAGTACAGATACTTTTCTCCTCCTCAAGTCCTGCTGCTATGCTATCCCAAAGCTAAGACATGGCTTGGGTTTGGCATTATGTCTGATCCCAGGCTCATGGTTTGTCAAGCTCCAAACAAGCCATGAATATTGCCAAGGTTTGTTCTTGACCGCACATTCATGATTTGTTGGGGAAAACAAACTATGAGCTCAGATTCAGATGTAATGCTAAGTTAAACCATGGCTTAGCTCCGGGAAACAGGGCAACGCTTTGCCATAGTTTGCTTAGCTTTGTGTGTGATCTGGGCCATTGTGAAGCGCTATTCTTTTATTCCCAAGCACTGATAAATTAGACGTACAAAATTATCCATTCAGTGTGTTTCATTCATTAGAACTATAGATTGGCTATAAATGTGTATAACCTTTTGTCTCAGAAATACTCCATACTGGTAATTCCCAACAGTGACAAATCCAACCCATCGCCTAACATTTATGCAGGATCAGATAATTGGTTAGATGCGGGGACCCATGAAGTTAACAATGGCAATAGGAAGCAAGCTGGGGTGGTGGAATCTGATTCAGAGACAGAACAAATGTTAAGTCAAGAAAAAGACACAAGAAGAAAAGGCTTGCTTTGACGGCTGGAGTCCTATGATTTCATTTGTAAATAAGATGAACCTGCCTCCACCCACCTTATGTAAAGTAAAAAATGTCACATAACTATAACTGATGGTGACAGCTTTGGCAATAACTGAGCAGGAAAAGGTGTTGTCTCCCTGACATGCCTATGTGTGTTTTTCTGCAAAGACCAAAGAGGGAGGCACAAAGGCTTACACCATAATCAACTCATTGACCTTTAAGGCTGTAGAAGACTTGGTTGCTTCTGTAAAAACCTGACCAAGTTCCCCAGTAGCCTTGACAGTTTTGTGCTGTGCTCTGTTGCTTTGTTCTTCCATTATATACCTAGAAAACGAGCTATTACCTGCCATCTAAGAACTTTAAAGGAAACTTTGAAATTAAGATTCCAGTTTGGATTTAAATCATGTGGGCAAATATAAATGAGCCCAAAGTGACCATTTTTAAGTTTAGCACTTGCAACAATTGCCTAATTTCCCCATATAGGGTAAATCTGTGTCTAGACCATATCGTTTCACAGTGCCTGGTCTTCCATAAAAAAAGAAAAACAAAGAAATCGTTACAAAAAGAAATGAGATGTAAGGTTCTACCCTAGGCTTCTCCTTGAGACGTCAGTTTTCTCCTTGAGATGTCAGATGGAAGGAGTGGCCTTTGAATGGAGGAGAATTCAACTATGGAATGTGGTGCAGTCAAGATCTCACCCGAGTGAGAACTAGGCCAACATGTATATATAGCAGCCAGAAACAGAATTTTTGAGTGGTTGATGAACTGTTTGTATTAGGCAAGGAGTAGATAATCTTGCCCCGTCCAGATTTTGCCATACCACAAGTTCCACAATCTCTGGCAATTAGCCATGCTGGCTGTGACTGTCAGAGTTCAGAAACATTTGGCAGGCCCCAAATCTCCCATCCCTGTATCAGACCATTGATGTGTGTGTGTGTGGGGGGGGGGTTACATTTCTATCCTGCTCTTACTCTATCCTGCTCTTACTCTTACATCTGAGCAGGAATTAAACCCATATTAAGTCGAAACATAAGAAGGTACTATATACGGAGACAGACCATTGGCTCAGTATTGTCTACAATGCAGTATTGTCTACTAGAAGATTCTGGGAATTGAACCTAAGATTGTTTGCATGCAAAGAATGTGCTCCCCCACAGAACTACAGCCCTTCTCTCTATGAAGATTACACCTGACCAAAAAGTTGACTTTTTCACAGAGATTTTGGCACAGTGATTGTCTATGATACTCAAACATGTCTTAAGTTAACAGCCAACCACTTCTTCAATGTGGTGCTGTCCAGGTATTGTTGGACTCCAACTCCCATCAGCCCCTGCCAGCATAGTCAATTGTCAGGAGTGATGGGAGTTGCAGTTCAACAACTTGTACCAGGTTGGGGAAGGCTGTCACCATGAGTTGTTTTCCCCCCCCCTTTTCATAAGCTAGCTAAGCATTCACAAAACTGGTAATCAAATTCCACTAAAAAAAATACAAAATTATTATTATTAATAATAATTGAATTTATATACCACCTTATACCCGGAGGCCTCAGGGTGGTTCACAGAACAAAAGAATACCCTTTTACTGAGATCATGGATTCTCATGTTCCAGGACAGTTATTTGAACAAATAGTCTTTCATCCAGGAACATGAATCCATCTCTTAAATTGAGGGTCAAGAACGGAGACCAAGACAGGGCAAGGGCACATTGACTACAGAAATAATATCCCACAGTCATCATATTCCACAGTTTTACTCAGCTACCTGACTAAAAGAGACACAAGATTTGAGTGGCCAGATCTTCTCATACAACCCTTACACTGTGATAAAGGATATAGATCAACCTTTCATAACCTCACACCTTCCAGATGTTTTGGACTACAACTCCTCTTGTTACTGACCATTTGCCACAACATCTGGAAGGCTCCAGGTTGGGGAAGGGCAATATCCTAATTTCTCTTACATGCAGAAAGCAATGGTCCTTATTTTCAGGCTCTGAAGTAAAAAGTAATGCCCTGTGAGTTCATCTTAGTACATTCTTCTCTCACAGTATTGTTATAAATCACATTTCTCTTGGAATACATTTTTTAAAGTCTTCACAAGAAAGGAAAACACATCCCCAAACACAACCATACAGCATTATATCATAGGTCACAGAAAACTGTGTACATCTTTCCCCATAGAAGGACATATGTCAAATAAAATAACTTCAACATCAATAAACCATAGTGTTCCTTCTTCCCATTAGAAGTAGATTTCTGCCCGTCCTCCCTCAATTTTTGGTACATAAATAGAAGAAAATAGTCTCTGAAATATTTACATCCATGACAAGTTCCTGTTGGTGAAAATTTGTACAGTTGTTTTTAAAGTGGATCCTTAGTTCTCATTTTCTCTCCAGCCACGGGCATTCTTTCCAAATTTATATACTAGTCTCCGACCATCTACACGTTCAAGAATTTCTCTTTTGTAATAGTATCTGTTAAAAAGGAGCAATGAAGTTGGATATATCAGAACTGTCTAATGAATGGTGGGTGAATTTCCCTCTGAACTCAAATTAAAATTGGATTTGGCAAATTAAGTTATTCCTCTTCCCCAAACAGAAAATAGGTGAGCTTATCTGAAGGCTGATTCAGAGGGGATTCAGAACCCACTGCATGATGTGATCAGGAGTACAACACGGTCTAGAAACCCCAAACTCCATCCACAAGCTACTGTGGCAGACCCACCACCCACTTTCTGGTGAAGGTCAGAGCAGGAACAGGCAAGTTTAATCCCACTGCCCCAACAAATATTGATTCATTACAGTGGTGCCCCGCAAGACGAACGCCTCGCAAGACGGAAAACCCGCTAGACGAAAGGGTTTTCCGTTTTGGAGGCGCTTCGCAAAACGAATTTCCCTATGGGCTTCCTTCGCAAGACGAAAGCCCATAGGGAAATCTCCGGGACAGCGGGAAAGCGCAGCGCGTCTTCCCCACTGTCCTCGGACCTCCTCCGAAGGCTGGCGGCGGGGCGGAGAGACCTCCTCCCGCCGCCAGCCTTCGTTTCTCCTCTATTTTGAAGGCAGGCGGGGGGGAGCAAAGACTTTTGCCCCCCGCCGGCCTTCAGAAGAGGTCCAGGACCTCTTCTGAAGGCCGGCGGGGGGCGAAAGTCTTTGCTCCCCCCTGCCTGCCTTCCCGGGAGAGCGGAGAAACGCAGCGTGTTTCTCCGCTGTCCCGGACGGCTTTTGAAGGCAGGCGGGGGGGAGCATAGACTTTCGCCCCCCGCCGGCCTTCAGAAGAGGTCCTGGACCTCTTCTGAAGGCCGGCGGGGGGCGAAAGTCTTTGCTCCCCCCTGCCTGCCTTCCCGGGAGAGCGGAGAAACGCAGCGTGTTTCTCTGCTGTCCCGGACGGCTTTTGAAGGCAGGCGGGGGGGAGCATAGACTTTCGCCCCCGCCCGCCTTCAGAAGAGGTCCTCGACCTCTTCTGAAGGCCGCCGGGGGGCAAAAGTCTTTGTCCCCCCTGCCTGCCTTCCCGGGGGCTTTTAAATCGCCCCAGGACAGCGGAGAACTCCCCCGCTGTCCTGGGGCTTTTTAAAATGCTGGCGGGCGGCAGCGGAGGCTTCGCTCCCGCCCGCCAGCATTTTAAGATCGCCCCGGACAGCGGAGAAGTCCCCCGCTGTCCCGGGGCTTTTTAAAATGCTGGGGGTGGGAAGAAAAGCCCTTGGTCCCCCCCCAGCCTTCAGAAGAGGTCGGGGGACAGACTGTCCCCGGACCTGGTCTGAAGTCGGTTTCCATAGGAACGCCTTAATTGATTTTCAATGCATTCCTATGGGAAACCGTGCTTCGCAAGACGAAAAACTCGCAAGAAGAAAAAACTTGCGGAATGAATTAATTTCATCTTGCGAGGCACCACTGTAGTTTACTGAACACAAAGGCTCAAAGTAACATAGCTCAACATGAAATCAATATAAAATTAGGCATACTTTAAATCAATGAAACCAATTAACTCACGGAGATTTAAGTATTCCTAACTTGGTTGGAATTGTGACAATTCTCTGTGATGGCCACTAGGCCAATAAAAGGCTATACGCAACATTTTGCAATATCATGCATCACAGTTTTTCAAATATCAGTCGGTGTGGTTACTTATATTTCATTGGAACTCCTATATCAAGGATGAGGAAGCAGTGACCTCTAAATGTTGGCTTATAACTACCAAAATCCAGGACCATTGGTCTTGCTGGGCCAATGGGCCTTGGACAAAATATAGGAGGGCCACGTGCGCAACTCTCCTGCTCTATCTCAAATTCACTGATCGCACCGTAGGATTCCAAACTAAGCACAGTTACTCTGTGCCCAAACTTTCTCCCTTCTTCTTAACCTACCTCATGGCACGGCTGAGTTTCTCATAAGTCATGCTGCTATTGTTTTTCTTCTTTCCCCACAGCTGAGCTACTGCCTCAGATTTTAAGAATCTGAAGATGCCTTCAGACCGGTCCTCCCATTTTATCAAGCCTGGATTCTTTTCTGGATGCAGGAGAATGTCTCGGATAAATTCCCACAAGTGAGTCCCTCGAGGAGCTAAAATAAAATGGTGTTACAATGAAAAGTTATCCACAGCAACAACTACTACATGGGGATAATCCTTTCCCCCCCCCAGTTCCTAATAGGAGGCCATCCTTATGCTGTGTATAGAAATAACCAATAGTTCTCTGAACAGGTGAAAAATTAGATGGTATATTGTCCTTAGACAAGCATATCGATCTAGGAGAGTTAAAAAAATTCTGACCACAGGAAGCAGCATTTGGTGTCAGGCAAAAGACATGCTACACTGCAGCTGGGTATAAAGAAGCCCAAAGGCTCTTCCTTCTGCCTTTGAAAGCATACTTAGAGGGAAGCAATTTGCAGTGGATAATTGACAAGAGGAAAGAGAGTGCTCGATCCTTCTCAACCAAGCCACATTTCCCTGAAACATCCCCCACTAACTGTTTAGCTGAGGACAGTTTGAAAAGGAGAAGAGAACAACATGCAGTTTATCTCCTCCACCCCCACCAATGGCAAATGTTTAATCAATGAAAGATTCAATCCATGCCTACCACTACAAAGTTTACATTTCTATGAAAGAATGGCATCTTGGCTAACAAGCCATCTCCTACAAGTTTATTTGTAGTATTGAGGTTCTCACTAAGGACAAATACCTAACTCATTTTTGTTTTTGTCTCTAATTTCAGATTTCTACAAATTGGTTACGTTCAATGTTATTTCCTGTACTCTTGTCTGCTTTGAATGAAGAAAAAATATGCAACTGAGCCCAGTTCAAATGGGACATTCTGAGAAGAACTCCCAAATTAGTATCAGACTGTGAATGGTCACCCTCATGGGAATATAGGAACAGATAAAAAGGGAAGTTGTGTGCTTTTTTGAGCATTGTAGTTGTCTAACCACCTAACTCATCTCCAGATACAGTGGGAGAAGGTTAAAGTTGCATAGCTGGCAAGCTACAACATTCAAACAAATGTCTTAAAGTACATTCCTTACTTTCACTGGACAGTGAAGGTGAAGGGGATGTTCATAGCCAAGGCTATCATGTTGCCATTTATCCCTAGGAGATAATGCTTAAAAGAGTGTAATAGAGTAGGACCTTCAGTTTTTTTCTCAGACATTTAAATTCTAATGAAGTTTACAGTGGGCATTTTGTGTGCAATTCCTTTTCTGTTGGCTCTGGTTCTCTTCACTATCTGTTATGTCAGTAAATATTTGCGCAGCCCCACCTTACAAGGCAATAGTTCTGTAGTAGCTAACTTACTATGTTTCTTGCTGTGAGATTTTGGAAGGTGGTCTTGTGTTTTTTTCAGCCCTGAAGCATCTTCTGTAACAGAAAAGGGGGGTAGGTCAGTTCTTCCACCTGTTCTGGCACACACTCATGACCCTGTTTCTAGAAACAATCACATGATAAGCCTTATCTACACAAAAATGTATTGTTTATATTCTGTTCTCAAAGTAGCTTGCAAGATGAAGAAACATAGCATAAAAGTACATTTTCATTCAGTGCCAAACCTTCAAATCTGTTTGAAAATAAAGGAGCAGAAACCTAATAAAATTATCACTTTCCAAAATCACAAAAGGCTCAAAGAACAAAAATGTTTTCCCAAAGGGCTTAAATGTATCCATTAAATAGATCCAATGAATTTCACCGAGCGGAATTTTCACAATCCAAGCCATCATCTGTCTTTATTATTGTTTATTTACATTGCCTTGTGTTGTCTATTACATTGTCCTGCCTTGATTGACTTTTCCTTTTTGTTTGTTATGCAATTATTTAAGTTCATAATATTATTTATTTAATATTCCTCTCCCTATCAATAAACACAATAGTGTATCAATAAACTATTACATTACTTTCAGTTACAATCCTCAGTCTGTGGCCCTTGTCACTGGTTATTTTTTAAGCACTGGGAGGAGGGGGGCAAATTAAAATGCATATTAGTGCCACAACAAGGGGAAAAATTATCCAGATGATCCAAGTCAGGGATGAAGAAGCTGTGGCCTTCGAGAAGATATTGCTGGACTACAGCTCTCCTCATCCTTGGCCACGGGCTCAGCTAACAGTGGCTGGCGAGAGCTGGAATTCAATAATATGTAAAGTAACACAGTTCCCCATCTAACATATAATTCTCTAACTAATATATGGAGTGAAACTCCCAGATTAACCCAGGCTCAGACCATTTTGGGCTTTAAAGGTCAAAACCAACAACTTGGATTGAGCCCAGGAACAAATTGGCAGCTAGTAAAGGTCACACAAGATCTATGTGAGCTTGCTACTTGGTTCCAGCTAAAAGCAGAACTGCTGCATTTTGAGGTTTCAAACTGCATTTTATAACAGTTCAATGGATAGTGTATTGTAGCAGTCAAGTGAAGAAGTAGCTGGAGCATTCAGAACAGGAGCCAGGTGCTTTGCTTGAACACCAGAAAGGAGCATAAAATAACTATCTTCCTGTCCCTCTTCCCAGTCCCTTTCTTTGAACCCTTTGCCTTTTGAAAGCTGAATTAGCAGAGGTGGAAGGGTGCAGAAATGATAATGATTAGCACCAAGACAGCAAGGGGAAAACATATAGACAATGTTAGGCTTCCTTTGTTGGATATTCACCTCCTCAGGTGTTCAGCCTGGATACACAAGGGCTAAAGTGGGTAGGGGGACAGGTAGACTCATACTCTAGAACAGCAGCAAATTTCAGAGGGTCCTCACCATGGATGCCCCCTCCCCTGCTTGGCAACACACACACTATGCAACTTGACTTTTTTCTGCAGCAGAAATTACTGCTTTCCTTGTTGAGTATCCAGACAGCATTTTAGCATAATAGTGCAGGTTAATTTGATTTTTTACCTACCCTTCACCACAAGGCCCCAGAGCAGGTTACATACATTTTATAAATACAATATTAAAATCAGTTTAAAACTAATACAATCAAAAGAATAGGGTAGGTTCATTTGGCTCCTATCCATAGTAGCAGCCTACCATTTTAATTGACCCAAAACACATTGGCCCTGGATCTAAAGGTTGAGTCATTGCATCTGAGGTAAATTAAAATGGCAGGCAGCTACCACAGATAAGAACCAAGGTTGGCTCCTGTTCAAAAGCAATAGTGCTACCTGCCCAAGGTAAAAACAGATACTCCGGGGGCAAGCAATGAGGGCAATAAGATAGCACAGCCAGGTCAGGCCACTGAAGGGCCCTTTTGATCACTGGGGCCCTTGGCTAATGCTTGACCGACTGCTGGTGCCAGGCATGCTCATGCAAAGTCTTCCACTCCCAGGCCTAGCGTTATTGGTTCCTGACCCCAAGGAATCCTGTAAACCTCTCCAGACCTTCATACTAAAGAAACAAGCCACACACACACACACACACACACACACACACACACACATATATGTATGTATATATATATATGTATATGCATATGTATATGACTTTCTAAGTTTATGGTTATCACCACATCAGTGAACTCCAGAAGTGGCGGACACACTGGGTGAAGCAATACTTCTGTTTCTCACACTTGAACCCACTGCCAGTCAACTTGATTGAGGAATAACTCCAAGTTCTAATATTGCGAGGGAGGGAGGAAAACTTATCTCAGACCAAACTGAAATTAAATGACACACTAATGCTAGGCCTGCCACACCCTTTGTTGTATCCTCTGTAAGCCCATTATTTCCAGAAATTATATTAAAGACTTCCTCCTTCGTTATTTTCTGGTAACTGATCTAATGCAAAGTGTGGGTAGTGGTGAAATAGAAGGGGTGGATGGAAAATACTGTATTAGTTTTCCTGATTATAATGTCAGCTCTTCTGTCCTGTTTTTTAATGTGCCTTTCACACTGAGGTACCTGTTGCATTATGGAACTGTGGCTTCTTGACTGATATACTGGCATGCTAAACTAAATTTCATTCATACTAGTGGACATTGGACAGCATTGCTACTCCCTCATCTTTTCCAAAAATGTGCGTTTCTGTTTCCCCATCATTCCCCCATAAAGACAGCAGGAACTGTATGCGAGTACAGCACCCCAAATTTCAGCATTTTACCCCTGTAGTTTTCTGGGTTAATGGAGCTGCAAATAGATTTTTTCCTCAGAATGAATTAACACAAAAATGAGTGCTAATCTCCCACTACATTCCGCTAGATTTATGAAAGTGGCTTTTACTTCATTTGTTAGCTCAAATATAATGCAGAAATTCACAGTTAGGAAAACCCTGGGGAAATAGAAGAAAGTGCTGTGTGAATGCAGCCTAGATTAGATTAGATTTAATATAGTTAAAATAACACTCAAAGCAACTCACACAACAAAACAACAAATATACAATGTAAAATACGGAAATTATGTATTCAATATAGTATCAAGAACAATAATATGTTCTAGCTGCTGTATCTCTTGCTGTCCCCAGCAGAGCAAAGTCTCCAAGACTCTGACACTTCAAAATACCACCCCAATGTGCTGTCCTACTTCTGCCATCTACCCAAAGGCAGTCAACTCCAGACACCAACCTTTCACCCTTAGGCTGTTCCAGACACTGCCTGGTTCGATACCCTCTATCTCAAACTCCACCATTTCACACTTGCCTCCCAGCTACTCAGCCTCAGCTGTGAGCCACAGGACAAGGCACCTTTCCCCTTTAGCTCACCAGTGCTTTTTTTTCTGGGTGTACTGAAGGGTACACAGTACTGGCACTCCCCCCCCAGAAGAAAAGCACTGAGCTCAACCAACCTGAGCACATAATGGTGTGTTTCTGAGTATGGATTGGGGGAGAAATTGGGTTTAGTTCACAGTTACAGGCAGACCTACCTCATTTGCAATTTCTGAAACAATACACGGACTGCAACACAACCACCCTTTGAAATTTGCATTGTCCCCGAATTTTGCAATGCAGTTTCCCAGCCAACTAAGGTGTACAAAAATGAATACACTAGGGCAAAGCATGCATGGAAGTGCCTATACTAGTGAAAAGAACATACAAAGAGAGGCAATCACTTTGCAAAACGGTATATTAGTCAAAACCTCATACAAAAATATTTTTAATAAGAAAAATCCACAGTAAAAAAAAATCAGTTAAAAGAATTTGATGTGGAAATGTGGAGAACCAACTTGAAAATGGAGAAAGCAAAACTGACAGATTCAGCCATCCCTATTTTTCAGGAAGTGGGACAATCAACAGTTCTCAGGGGCATAAGAGACAATGTTGTTAGGAATTGTTGTCAGTTGGACATGGACAAGTCCACCTTCCCCTTACTGATGCAACAGTATGCTGGAGGCAGGAAGGAGGGAAATTTGATTTCTGAGCACTAGAAGTTCCGGGGTAATGAAAGCTATAAATTCTCTCTGTTCATCACTTAGCACACTTAGTATGCTGAACACTCACTACTTTAAAAACAAGCCAAAGAAGCTGAAGGCTTGCCTGCCTAATCTACTAGTGGCAATCTGTTTCCATTTATCAGTGACACATCACTGAGTGCCAGGAACCTGTGTTGTGTCTGCCTTGAAGGAGATTAGTGCCAGAGAAGCTTAAAGCCCACACGTGTTCTTCCACCTACACACATGTATAAACAGTCACCAATGGAAATTAGCTATTTGCATGTGCAGAGGACTTACAGTAACTGCCAGGCTTTCTGCACAAACTTGTCCGAACGTTTTTTTGTTGCAACACTGATAAGCACTCCAGGAAAATGGCCTTCCATTAGGTTCTGCTGGAAATCTGTAGCCACAGCTGAAAACCAGCTAATTACATTTGTGCTTCCTTCTGCATTGTCAAGTTCAGAGAACACCATCCTCTTGTACGATTTGCTGAGCTTGTGGGAAAGTCCCAAAATCTAATTAAGGCTTGACAGTCCTGCCTTTATGGAAGCACACCAGTCTTAAAACCGAAATCCATTGGGAATTTTGCCCTGAGAATGAGACTCGGAGGAATTTAAATTTATTCTCCTAGGGAAAAGAAATCCTCACTACCCTTGAATTATCTAGTTATTTTATTCTATTGAAATTAGGGCACAATCCTAAACTGGAGTTCTGCTCGCTAAAGAGGCTTTTGGATCCGGTAGAAGCCCTGCTGTGCCAGCAGAATGGCAGCTATGTTGCCATCATGACAGATACACCAGTGCAGTGGTTTTCAACCAGTGTGCCATGGCACCCTGGGGTGCCTTGAATGATGGTCAGGGTGCCATGGTCAACACTGGCCTCTGTCCCTCCCTCCTTCCTTCCTTCCTTCCTTCCTTCCCTCCCTCCCTCCCTCCCTCCCTCCTCTGATGGTCTCTCACATCTCTGCCTCCCAAAGACTTGCATGGCTGTTTCTTACAGCAGCCCTGCCTACAAGCTCCCCAGGTGAATGGTGCCTCTGGGGCTGGCCAGGGGGTGTTTCCCAGGCCCCTGTGGGGCAGTGTGAGGAGGCACCTCTCTTTGGGGCAGGGTGGGCAGCTCAGAGACCAGTAGCTGCCCGGAGGACTCCTAAGGAGTGGGGAGAGGAGGATGAGGGAACACTCCACATGGGAGGGTGTTCAAAAAGTGGTGAGGGGCTGTTGGCTCTGTAGGCAAGGGGTGATATAACAGGGCTCCTGAGCCCCAAGAATGTAGTTGGTCAAGGGAGCTGTAGACCCAAAAAGGTTGAAAACCTCTGCACCAGTGGAATGCCTGTGATTCCTTCCTGCAGAATATCCTGGTTGGCAGAGCTGCTCTGTGGTTGAAGAGATGCCTGTAATGTAGCTAAAACAAGGGTAGAGTTGCATGAAGTTTGTGCACAGCTCAAGGGAGAAAGCACTCTTGCTCCAGATCCTATACCTCTTCAATCGATGCCCATAGATCCGTTGGCAGCACAAATTTATACCTGGGGCAGGAAATTACCCCCCCCCCATTGACTTCAGTCGAAAAGGGCAGGGATTCAAAAATAGCTGTGCCCACATCAATGGCCTGAACAGAGGACTCAGTATCTAATTATAGCACACTGCCATGGGGAGTGTGTGGCATGGGGCTGTATTTACCTACCAGAAGGAGTGGTAGGCAAAAGGGGTTGCTTGGAACATGGAGGAACCAGGCTATTTGCTCCTCAATTTGTTGGCTCAATGTGCCTCAATGTGGGAGGGCCTCTCCTTTTCCTTTTACAAGAGTGCACTCTGGGTTTGAGCCAAAGAACTCAAGAATGGAAAACAGTAGGTGTTCTTCCCACCTAAGAGTCTTCTTGCAACCTCTGTGCTCCTGGCGCTGAGGACTGACTGTTGAAATCAGGTGCAGGGAAGACAAATGCTCTGTGATTTGTCTTATTGCTGCCTATCGCTGCTTAGTGGTGTCTGCAGTGTGGGTTGAAGTATCAGAAGTTCCCTCCATCCTTCACTCCTAACGCAACTGCTTTGTTTTCCCAGGCATGCAAACAGTTATTGGAGCATATTTCCCCATCCTCCGATGGGCCTCAAACTCTTCTCACCTGCTTCCCAACCTATACAGCGAGACACTGGAAGGTACTGATGTCAGTGTATGTTTGTGACTCTCCTTATTGCATCTCCTGGTCCTTCCCCTTGGCCAATTGGCAAAAGGCTCTTTTCCTCTCTGGGTGGGTCTGAAACTCTTGTCCCAGGGAGGGGTGTGTGAGTTTCCCAGGACACAATTGGGCACTTTGCTCATATAACATCTTCCATCTCTTGAGCATGTGTTATGCTCCTAAAAGAGTGGCTGGATAAAGATATTATAATCCCTGCCTGAGAACTGGTTGTACATCTGGGCCTTGTGGACTGGTGTTGTTGTGGCTTCATCTTGCTTGGTGTGGGCGACGGTGTGGATTGTGTGCTGGGGTGTGTCTCCATCACTGAGAGGTCATTGGCTGCCTCTTGTGTATGACCAGCGTGTGGGCAGGATTGCTAGCATATACCCTGATTACTTGGCACTGACCCTATTTCTAGACATATTGTCGGTGTCCCTCTCTTTTATTTATCTTATTTTTATATTTTCTGCTTGTGCCTTCAGATGTCTTCCGAAAGTCAGATAGTTGTTTATTTCCTTGACATCTGAAGAGAGGGTGATCCACGGGGAGGGCACTACTTCCAAGAAATCCCTCTGCCTGGTTCGTTCCCTGTAACCTCGCTTCTTGCAGTGAGGGAACTGCAGTGAGTGAGGAAAAAAAGACCCTCAGAGGAGGACCTCAGTGTCCAGGCTGAACGATGGGGGAGGAGACGCTCCTTCAGCTATACTGGGCCGAGGCTATTTAAGGCTTTAAAGGTCAGCACCAACACTTTGAATTGTGCTCACAATAATTGCATACAATTCAGGAAAAAAGCCACATCGGTGTTTTTTTCAGAATATGCAACTTTGGTTTTTACAGCGCTGTGCCCTTGGCATGCCATCCTACCTCTCTAGGCCCAACAAGGGAGTGGATAAACACACCACAACAGGGAGCTTGACTGAACCTCATCACTGTCAGGAAAGATTTGAAGAGCTAGCAGCCATTTTTAATGAGAATGGGTGGACAGCAAAAGGGAAAAAGTGATCAATTGCTGAGCTCACTTGTTTGAAGTGTGTGCACTGAGATAAATCAGGTTGCACAGCTGCTGTAGATCAAAATGACATTAAACACTCAAATGCATTTTTTTCTGCCATTGTTAATAGCCTATTTGAAAATAGGACGGCCATCTTTTTCTGCTGGCAGAGCTCCTGTGCCTTAACAGCTGCAAGAAAGGAAGCCATTAAGCACTGCAAATTCCACAGCATGGGCACAATGTGCTGTAGTGGTTAAGTGCTGGGCTTTGACAAGGGCAAGACAAGTTCAAATCCTAAGTCATCCACCAGTTGACCTTGGCCAGTCACCGTATCTCTGCCTAACCTACCTCACAAGGTTGGCTGAGGATAACATGGAAAAGGGTAAAACCATGTATGCCACCTTGAACTCCTTGCAGGAAGAAGGAGGGGGATGGAACAGTAAATAAATAAATCACTTGTGATGAATGTGCAGGTGTGATTCAGCTCATAGTCTTCTATTTCTGACCAACTCAAAGTGTAATGTAGTAAGGAAGAATCAAGGCAGAGACAGCCACTCTCATTCTAATTCTCAGATCACAGACCAGTCCACGTTGTTCTGAAGTCGATACTGAACCATGGTTCATACGTACTAAACTATGCACAAAACTGGCAATGAACCATGCACATGCAACGCAATGTTTATATTCATTCCAGTTTTGTAGAAATCAGATATCATGAGGTGGCCGTCTGACTCTGCCCAGGTTTTTAAGCATCTGAACTAAATCATAAGATGTTAAATATGCTTACCAATAGGCTGGTGACTAGTAGCGTTGATTGCAATCTGTGCTCGACAATACGCTTTGCTGTCCACTAATTCTAAGGATTCAAAAAGAAAGAACGACAATGATGTAATGTCTTGTTAAAAGAGTTTCCCAGAACCACTTGAAAATGCTTTATAGGTTGTTGGGTTAGTTACCTACTGTGCCACCATATCCACTATCATAGAAATAGTTCTCTTCTTTCCATGACGCCATTAAAGACGGATCTTAAACAAGCAAACAAAAAGAAACAAGAGTCAATGTTGGTAAAGCAGCTTTTTAAATGCTCCATATTCAGAACACACAGCACAAATTCAGACAAACTGAATGTCTCACTTGTTTTAAAAAAGTGTTGGGGCAAACTGAGCGGTCTAGATGTTTAGAGTGAGGCATTCTGCCCTCCATGTGTCTTGATCTTTCTTGTTGGGCACCCTTTGCAGATAAGGAACTTTAGCTCTCCTTGGCAAATCATCATAACTTCTACACCCAGGTCCAGGTCGCTGTTCCTTCAGCCAGATCTGGTCCCATGAGGATGCTCCCCCCCCCACCAGTGTGACAACAGCTGCTTTAGCAAGAGGGTAGGGATGGCCCTGCTCAAAGCTTTCTTCCTTAAATTCATTCCCAGTGCATTTTATATGGCCCAATGGTTTCATAGTGATTTGACGATGAAAGAGAGATTGTAGCTGCAGAATTCTGCACATGTTCTACATTTGAAACTGACCCTGAAGTTGCCCTGAAGTTCTAAAGTCTTGACCTGGCACCCTTACAACGAACCGCAAGAAGCAAAGTGTACTGTTGCAACAGAGAAAAACACAAAGGTTTCGAAAACCTTCCAAAATTTCCTTTTGAGCCGTAGCGCACAGGTAACAAGCATGATACTAGCGTGGTATTGTTACAAAAGTATCATCAATCTGTACAAACACATGTTACTTATTTGGAGCTGTTAGGTTTGTTTTTGTTTGTATTTCAAAATACTAGGTGATTTTGGGGATCGGTTTGTCTTTTAAAGCAATGAATGTGATTACAGCTGAAAATGAATCACTTACTAAGTCATTGTTCTTGGCTAGGTTAAGAATTATGACACAGGAATTTAGCCGATCTTCTGCTTACCAGCTACGTGTTTGGGCATCCCAAACCTATGTCCTTCAAATAGCACACACCCTCTTGTTGTTTAGACACCTGATCTACCCATTGTTTTCTCTAAAAACAAGCCTCGCCCAAGAGGGGCTTGGAAGAATTTTTATTTTTGCAGTTCTGCGCGGTATCAGAATATCTCCAGTAGCATTCTGCTTTGGTTTGTTTCCTTTACAGAAAATTAAAATGAGTCATCATCAGTGGAGGTTTGTCCATTAGAGTGAATGGACCTAGTCCAAGGGATGGCACTGCCTGTCTGGGGACAAGACTAGGAAAGGATGGGGACAAGACTTCAATGACTTGGCTCTGCCAGTCATTTGTTTTGTCTCCACCAACTATTGGTCTGCTTGCATTCCACTCAACCAGTCCCCTTTAATCAATGGATAGAAAATATGGCAACTCTTGCAATTGCTCATAGCCATAGATTGTGTATGAACAAATAAAACGACATGTATTAAAAAATATAGTCAGTTATAAATAAATGTATATGTATTAGAATGATAATTTCATCTCATATGCCTTCGTGCTCGACAATTATGTACGGAATTACAAGGGTTTTGGTACTTTGTGTGCACTTTTTGTTTCCTTTTTATTTCTTCACTTTAGTTTAATATAATTTTTTTTTTGGGGGGGGGGAGGGACCCAGTCCCAATTGGCACCAGCCACCATTGGTAATCACATACAGCTGAACTCAATGAATGCCAAATGGCAAGCAGCCTACATCCAACTGAAGTCAATGACAAATCTGTCGGTAAGGGGAAAGCCACAAAGTGCACCGAAGGACAGAGCTGTGTTAGCCATTCAACATCTCCAGCATTCCCTAACCTAGCCCATTGCCCTCAGGTCTGGTGGAGGGTGGTATCCCCACTCACCTTGGAATTTGACTTGGGCGAACTTGCCCTGTCTAGATTGCCAATACTAGTATCAAATTCCTTCAGTTCTAAAGGTGAAGCTCAAAATGTTCCCTTACACTTCCAGCACTGCCCTGGCATCTCTACTAAAGAAAGGGTTATCTGAAAAAAGCTAAGCTTGATAAGAGCATATACTATGTCAGTAGCATTGTACCATAGCCTGACTGTACTGGCTGCCAATCAGTTTCAAGGCCCAATTCAAAGTGCTGGGTTTGACCTATAAAACCTTCAACGGCTCAAGACCGCAATACCTCCAGAAACGCTTCTCCCCATATGAACCAACCTGGACTCTGTGACCATAATTTGAGGCCCTTCTTTATGTTGTCCCTCCACAAGAGGTCCCATTGACTTCAACAAGAAATACAAGAATATGCTTGACTCTCATCTATTGCGATCAATGAAACTTTTAAAATGTTTAATGTTGACTCACATCATTTCCCTTATATTTAGTGCATATTATTATTATTATTATTATTATTATTATTATTATTATTTTGGTAACATCGAAATGTGCTTCCCTGTCCTTTTCCAAATAAGTGTGCCTGTCTTTATTTCTTCACATCATCTTAATTCATATCTATCTGGAGTTGTTTGCAGTTGATGGGGACATCAATATTGCTGGCATCACCCACCTGTTTGTTCTGTCTTAACAATGACATTGTGTGAAGGGTACATTTCACTTCCACACTGGCCTGCAAGAGAATGCAAAGGGCAGCTCAATATACATAAGGGAAGGATTTTAAACACACACAACCAAACCAATTGGTCTGTTTCGACAAGAAGAACCAATGCTATCAGACAGCTCTACTAGTCACAGGTTTCTAGCAGAACGAGAAAGAAAAGCAGTCACTTGCTTTATAACTTCTGCATGAGAGTGTCTTCCCACAGGATTCTCCCCCCCCCAGCTCATTGGCATGCACATATCAAAATCGCAAGCAAACACATGTATCAAACACACCAGTGGGTGTGAGGTTTTGTGCGGGAAACAGCCCTCAGCAATTCATCAAGGCATTTCCTAATGCAGCACTTTGAATTCATGAAAATAAATTTTTCACAGATGGGTAAGCTCAGATTCACAAGGGCTGGGAGCCTATATAAAACCTTTGCAAAGTTACTAGGTTTTATATTTACCTGAAACATTCAGTGTTTTCCCTGCCCATCCTCTTTCTTTGGCTTTGGCACACTTCCTGGCTTGCACCTCCCTATTTATTTGGTACAGCTAAAGAGGCCATTCTGAGACTGCCAGCATGGTCTCTGGGGCATAGATTTCATGCTCAGCACTACTCAGTTTTGCTATGTGAAGGCCTTGCTACAAACTTTGTCTTGATATTCAGCTATTTTAAAGACCTGATATTGCCCTGATTACCATATAAAAGAGATGCTGGAGGTTCGTAAAACCTGGAATAGGATGAATTTGCCTGGCTCAATTAAAGCTGCAGTTATGCAGATATCATCCCAAGGTGTTTCAAGGAATATGAAGGGCATGTTTTAACCTGCAGATCATTAGCATACTAGATATCAATACAGAAACTGAGTGGTAAGCTAATGTTATCCCTATAACACTGAATTTAAAGTTCACATATAAGTTTTAAGGAGGGATGTCAATGAAACACGTAAAGGTAGGAAACAATGGAAATGGTAGGGCCTAAAGGTGCCAACTCCTAGGGACTGAGGCACTTTCGGCTCCCCTAATTTAGGGAGTTCGGCCCCCTCAATATTTAGATAATGTTGCACAGCATCACATTGGGGGGCCTGATCCTCTGGAGAAGCTAGTGTCTCTGCTATGTCTTCAGGCCCAAAATTCAAATGTGGCCCTCCAGTCCTCTCTATCTGGTCCCCGGAACTCTTTCCAGGCCACACACCCTCCCAAGACACACCAATCACTGTCTCTGTTCCTCATCCTCTTTGAGTGTTTTTGCCTGGCTGGACTGTGCTCTTGAACTCTGCTTATGCCTCTTGTCTGAATGGAGGGAAGGAGGAGAGGCGTGCTGTGTGCAAAAAGCCCTGGTATCTGCATGGTAGCCTACTGTACAAAGGTAAAAGTCACCACCATTGTTCTGACCACTTTTACCTCTAGCCCTGCCCACCACCCAGGCACATAGTCTTCTGACTGAGAGAGGTTCCCCACACCTGGTCTGAAGAAAGCTTCTCCTTAAAAAAATGAAGGGGTGCTAGTAAAATTTGAGTGATGGGAGAACAGGACATGACTGAACCCATCATTAAAAAAGTACATAAAAATTTCTCACTAAGCAAGGGTTTTGTGCAATACGATCTTTCACACCCACAGCCCCAACTGCACTGTCATAATCCAGCCACAAGATACACAGGTGCTACTTCATCAAACCTGGAAGCAAATTCTGCATGGAACAATGATGTGCAATGCAGGAACAAGTAATTTACAGAATTGTATACATCCGGTCTTGAATCTCTTATACTTTAGTGTGCTCTATTTACCATTCCACTTCAGGTGATGAAGGCTGCTGTAAAGAAGCTGCCCAGCTGTGCCAGCTGCTCGGGTGAAATCTTGCAAACTCATGTTGCACAGATGTTCCCCACCAATATCAAACTCCTGGAAAGGAATGCAGGTGGCATCAAGCTGGTTGGTGTCCAAAAGGTGTTGAAGCCATTCCCAGACCTGATACTTTGTCCAGTATTGAGGGTGTATCTCATGCCACTGAGCTCCAAAGAAACTGCCTGATGCTGCAAGAAAAAACTCGAGTCATTTGCCTGATCACTGATCGTCAGCAAATAATGTAGGTAAAATGGCATTAGTATTTTATATACAGATTTCCTGCCTCCCCCCACCCCCGAACAGCACACAAGGGGAGGAGAAGGGACACTATTTTATCTGGCAAGCTGAGATGCATTTCTCCCATTGAAATTAACAGGCATGCCTTACGTAGCTCCATTCATCTCAATGGGTCTGCTCTGAGTAAAATTTGTTTGGATGCAACTCAAACATTAAGCAGCAAATAATTAAACAGCAGAAGAAAGAATACTATAACTGATTAAGTAGCAAGAAAAGCCAACAAAAGCAGCAAAAAAAGTATTTTTAGGTGGTAAAAATACAATAAAAGCAGAAGTCCCCAAAGGTCCTCTGAACAGCTTCTATCTAGTTACTATAAATCCACTGTGAAGTGAGTCCTAGGAAGGCAGCTCCATAATCTTAGTGCCACTGATGAAAAGGCCCTGTCCTAGGTAACTGCCCATTGTATGACAGAAGGTGAGAGAACAAGGCATCTGAGAGAGAGAAAACTTCAGGTGTTGATAACCTTGAGACCTTGCCAGATGTCTTTTTTTTAAAAAAAAAATGTGCTCATGGTGGTGTATGGGCAGTTATATGCAATCTCACTTTCAATAATGTTTGCACATACACAGGTTTGGGGGGCAGACACACTGCTTTGTTTCCAATCAGTACATGTCCCGTAACATCCTGCTGAAATCCTTTATCTTTTTGATACTACAGCTGTTATGGTTTAATTTTTATCCTGGGTGTGTGTGTGTGCCAGAGTGCCAGAGTGCCCCTCCAGATGGCAACAGTATAGTAATGTTGGGGAAGCAATGCAGAACAACTAATAAAGTGGGGTTATGTGTGGATACTACAGTCTAAGTCCGCCACTAAGGCATGTTATTGAATCAATGACATATTTTGCAGAATACACTTGCAAAAAAAGCCCCTAGTTTCAGATATTATGGACCGAAACCATTTAGGGCTTTCAAGGTCAAAGCTAACATTGAATTGGGCCCAGAAACCAACTGGAAGCCATTGTTGTATCACAATTGGTACTCCATGTCTACTAAGGACTGCCCCAGGCAAGATCTTGGTGTTCCAAAGCAGTTTTAGACTCTTAAGACTCCTCAAAGGCAGTCTGATGTAGACAACATTCCAGTAAAGTAATCTGGATGTCACTATAGCAATTAGGCAAGAATTACTGTGACGAGGCTGTTTGTATCCAAGAAAGTATGCAGTTGGCATTATCACTGGTAAAAAGCATTCTTGGCTGCTGTCACCCTCTCAGAGCAGCACTAAATCCAAGAGGACATCCTGTTGCAAATCTGAGTTTCAGGGTGGGTCAAACCCCATTCACAATAGACTGTGCACCTATTCCAGGCCCAGCCATATTTCCAGTCAACAGTGCATCCATCTTCTCTGGATTAGGGTTTGTTTGTTTTTCTACTGTCATCCACTTCATCATAGACCTCAGACACCCATTCACAACTTTTACTGCCTTCCTAGGATTAGATGGGAAGGAGAGATAAGAGCAGGGTGTTGTCAGTGTACTGATGACACCACACCCTGTATCTTCAGGCAACTCCACCCAGTGGTTTCATGTAGATATTAATGGGCACCAAGATAGACCCTTGAACCACCCTGCAGGCTAAAGGCCATGAGATGGAGAAACCATCTCCTCCATCATTATTTGTGATCTATCCTCAAGGGATGACAGGAAAGGAGCAGTATACCCTCCACCCCAACCTTGAGAAGGCAATACCCCAGCAATATAGAATCCTAAATTCATATATGGCTCAATATTACAGAGTCTCTACTCTCCAAGTCTCTCTAACCCAATTTTCTCCTCTGTTTTCAGTTCCAATGCAGGTGCAGAAAAGCTAGTCTAAATATCTGCTCTAGGGTTCATGAAAGGCTTTGGAAATTTGGAAACACTTTTGTTGTTCCTGTTGCTCTTGTTCTAAATACAAGCATTCTATCGGTGAAGCCAGAGATCTCAGATAGCATATTAGCGAACAAGACATACTGACTGACTTCCTCTTGACTTCGCAGCAGAAATGGCAGACACACACCTTTTGATAGCTATTGTTATTGATAGATTGAATCGGTTTTTACATCTATCTCAAGGAGATTTACAATAATGTCATTAAAAACACAGGGATATATATATGTGATTTATCCATTCATTCATCAGCTTTTATTAATAAAAAGAGGAACTTTTCTGAAGTGCAAGACTGCTCCAAAGGGGCATTTCTTGGCAAGATCGTTCGGGCTAGCCAGTCAGTATTATGTATATTTTAGATCTGGTCTGACATTTGCAGAAATGTTTCCCCTCCCCTGGACTTCAAGGCCAAACTCTAAGCTGCTTCTTAAATATCCAAATATTAATAAGTATATCAATACTGAACAAAACAATATCTGAAATATTGGGGGGGTTATATTAAAAAAACAACCACCTGAAAAGTAAACAATACTGTGCAACAGCATATCTGTGTATGCACATGTTTCTGGGCATGCAAGCACCCAGGGCTTGAAAGAATAAATATTAAACATCCCACTGTCAATTTGGAGTTAGTCTGTGTTTCTGAAATGTAGGCAAGCAGTCTCTCTCCCAGCAAGTCATCACTTAAAGCCTGCAATAGTATCTCAAAGTGGACAGACTACCAGAGGATTGAATTATTTAAAAACTGTGATGGTGGCCTCAGTTCTTTATTATGCAATAAAATAAGATAGTCAATATGTTCCCAGTTGTTGGGGAAATTGAAAGGAACTCAACACAGGAGCACGGAGACGTATACACTCAGAATATATGTATTCTCTCTTAACTTATTTACATTGTGTCTGGAGGATCACATTTGCAAGGGTTTTATTCTATACCACATTTTATATAAGGAGTAGTCTAGCTTCTCTAAATCTAAATAATGCATAGGTAGTGGCAGAACCAGGGGAGGTGGGATCAGGGTGGGAGGACAGAAGTGGGGCAAAGTATATTTCTAGGTAGGCAAAACGTGTCCCATTTGCTCCATCTGGCAACACCCATGTGCATAACCAAATTGGTAAAAAAAATGGACAAGCAAATGACTCTTTTTTTCTACACTTCATGTGATTTTTGGAGGAAGATCTGACTTGGGAACCTAGGTGTGTTTGCATTCAAAACTACAAGTGGATCTTAAGAAGTTTCAGAATCTGATATCCTTACTGAGAAATTCTGTTTTTGTCAGACAACTCAAAAACTGGAACAACTGTGACGCATCAATTTCAAGAGGAAACATTGCTGATAAAAGGAAAGTTGGCAATAAGAGTTTGTTATGAGGATTTTAAAATAAAATAACCAGAAATTCTTTTAGAGATAGTTAAAAAAATATATTGGAGAAATATAATTGTATGGTGAATTGTCAGAAGAAAACTGACTAATAGTTACTTTATGTGACCAGGTTTAAGGGTAGTGTTGTGAGCTAGTGGTTAGAGTGTCAGACTAGGTCCTGTTGGCCATGGTTCAAATGCCCACTTTGCCATGAAACTCACTGGGTGTGACCTTGGGCCAGTCACTGCCTCTTATCCTAACCTACTTGACAGGGTTGTTGTGGGGATTAAATAAAAAGAGGGAGAACCATGTATGTTACCTTGAGTTCCTTGGAGAAAAAGGTGGGATATAAATGCAATAAATAAATGGATTATTTAGAGTTAAGGAAAACGTTTTAAAAGTTAGATCTACATGGATTCACAGCCTGAATATATTTCTATATACAGAAATTAGGGGGATAGATAGATAGATGATTAATAGATATAGATAGATAGATAGATAGATAGATAGATAGATAGATATCTCAAATAAACTTCATGAAAAAGTGTATACCGTCAACAGCAGACTCAATGGAAACTGCTGTCTCCAATAAACACCTGAATATATTTCTACATACAGAAATTAGGGGCTTTTAGTCTAATTGCTTAGCATTTAATGACAGAAAGGCTTTAATGAGTCTGTCCTACATACGTGACCTATTTGAGAGCAAGTCTAGTGTAGATTTCAGTCATGTGCCAAATGAAGGTTTATCTCACCCCAAATAACTTCTGGCCATAGGTGGCATCCTGAATTTCAGTACCAACAACCACCACTCAGTGTTAACTAAAACAGTCAGAATTGGAATGGAGAATTTCAAGTTGTAGAAATGATCTCTCCTGATGTCATGGCTAGATTAGAATGTGGTGTTTATTGGGGAGCAGTATGCATCATGGCTGCTGTTGACAGTACACTCCTTTGCAGGAAATTTATATTATTATATTATTATATTATATTATATTAGTTATTCTGGTAATTTACTCTGTTGTTTTTAATTGATGGATTTTTATCATTTACTTACTGTTTTTTGGTTTTTAATTTCTAAGCCACTTAGAGATTCTTGCCCCCCCCCCAAAAAATGTTGTGATATATAGAGTATACTCATCATCTTCCAAATAAATAGCAGGAATAAATAGGGTATAATAAATTACCATAGAATATAAATTGCATTGGTTACACTGCATTCCATTTTGGTAGCGTGGAATTTTCTTGTTTTGTTTTTTTAAGGAATACAGTAAAACTGTAATGCAAACAATAATACTGCAGTAAAGTAGACTGGATAGTTCCCCCCCCCCACAAGTGGAATAAGGGCAAGATAAAGGTTTACAACTCCCAAGTCGATTCACAGATCACCACAGGTGAATTCTTCCTACCATGACATGTGGGGTATCCATCTGTCCAGGATGGCTGCTCGTGGAGAAGACTTGTGACTGAATTAAGACTCATTCTGCCAGTTCCTTCTAAAATCATGATCTGCAAATGAACCAAACAGCTGACTTAGCTCAAACTTCTTGTTCCACAAATACCAAGAATATCCCATCAAAAGCAAAGAATGGCAAATGCCACAGCCCAGGTCAGGAACAAGTTGCCACAACCCCTTTCTGGCTGAAATAAAACTTCCTACTGGCAAAACATTGCTGTGCCTGATTTTCATATGCATGAATCAAGTTTCTACAGCCACCCATCCATAAAAGAGTGAGCTGTAATAAGGAAGGAAGCAGAATTAAACAAAAAAACAAGACGGCAACCTACCTTTACTTACGGTACTCCCATTTGAAAGACATTAAGGGGGAGAAAGAAAGAAAGAAAGAAAGAAAGAAAGAAAGAAAGCTGAATTTCCTCCCCCGATCTTTCTTTGAGTAGTAAAATGTAATTCGTGCTATTTGACGCTCCAAAACCTGAGTTTAAAAGCTTTATATACTAAAACCATATTTTTCCTCAAATAAAGCACATGCTCCCTAAATTTGGATTGCTCCCTCAATTTGTGCAATAATTTCTTGATGACATTAAACATTAAAACATTGGAATAAAAGGCCATAAATACAGTAAGTTCTGAACAGCTGTGCACTCTTTTATAAAAGTGTTTTAAAACTTATTTTCAATCATATATGCAGACATCTGGAATAAACAACATTTATATTATGTCAACATAAAATGCAGGCTAAAGATTAACCTTGATTAACAAATAGCCAACTAGACAGAAAGTTGGACCAAAGATAAGCAGAAAGACAATTTAAGAAAGTGTTCTAAATGTTATCAAAATGTTTTACCTTGCTATGCTTAATAAACACCATTTGCTCTCAGACTGCTAACACACGCAAAACAGAAATGTAATGTATATTTAGAGAGACATTTGATGTCAAGTATTACAAGACTTTTTAAAAACGGAGAAGCCTGATTTAACAATAATGTGTGTGCATCTTCTCAATCCCAGACTCTAGGAAATACTTCAAAGATTTTTTGCATAAAAGGTATGCTTTTCATGGATACAACCCTGTGAATTATACTATAATCTATGAAAAACCTCCAGGCTTAACAACAGCTCCATAACATATGAATTAGAAAAGCACTCGGAGCCACACAGCACCAACCAACATTTACTATCCACTGCCAAATTCTTCTGCCAGAGTCTCATGGGAATACTAAATGCAATCATTCACTGGATCAGTCTAACAATACAGTATTTCAAAATGACATTGAAATAGATCTTAAGGCTTTCACCATTGATTCATATGAACTGTTAAATTAGCATCTGTTTCCCAAGTTTCCTTCAGGGAATCTAGAGATGGTTCTAAACAAGCTTTCAATGCTTTATAGAATTACTGGTCTCTTTCTTAAAATTTGTACATACAAGAAATAAGTAAAATAACCAAGCATGTATTAGAAACTACCCCAGAACTGACCTTACTAAACATCTTCCAAGACAATAATGCCCACTTACACCACAAAGAACTCATAACCCACCTACTTTCAGCAGCCAGAAGCATCATAGCCAGACACTGGAGAGACCTGTTAGGAGTGAGCATGGACCAATGGTATCAAATAGTATGGGAAACAGCCCTACTAGAAAAATTAACCAATAAACTGAAACTGACACGGGGACAAATAGAAGAAGACACCTTCACCCCAGTATGGCTCCCCTTTATCACATACACAGCCCAAAAAGACAATGACAAAAATCCACCAACAGCATACAAATCAATATGGCTACCTGATCCAAAACACCCACCCACCCCACTCACACATGAAAACAAAGACCACCACAACCAACCACAAATGAATAACCACACCCTAGGCCAGCCCCAACCTCTCTCACCACCAAAGGAACACAAGTGAACAGCAAAGAACCTGCACAAGCAATGCTGACACCAAACCCTACATATAGTAAGTAAAATAGAAACATTGCCACCCGACCCCACCCCCACCCATCTTGCCCCCCCTCCACCTCTTTCCCCCTTTTCTTCCTAATGTCTCAACAAATGAAACTGATTTGTAAAAATGTTACATGGAAAAAAATACAAGAGACATTGCAAACACTTTTGTAAATCAAGAAAATCTTTAATAATAATAAAAAACAACTGGTTAAAAGTATTGTGGAGTTTTACTAACAAACACCCTTTGTGCTGGACAGGAGAAGGGTAATTTGGAGCCCTGGTAGCTTCCCCTCATGACCTACCAGCCACCAACCTGACATAGAGCTTCTCCTTCTGCCCCAAACCTATGGGTGGGTGTGCCACTGTTGACAAGCTGTATAAAGCCCCCAAACAGTGCTTTTGAGGGGCAGGGAAATGGTGGGCCAGTACCAACTCAGGGTCCATTGGATCCTGAACTAGGCAGGCTGTTGTCACATGACAATACTGGTCTTGATTCAGTCCCAAACACTGCACCAGTTCCAGGTTGGTGTAGCAATCTGTGTGTCCCCCGCCTTCTGCCCTGGCCACCACGCACGGCAGGGATTCAGCTGCGATGGTAGTCCCAACTCTCTGTAAAGCCCTCTCCCTAGGCTGTGTTTTACTGCTTCCAAAACCAGAGCAGGGCCAAACTGAAAGCAAAATTCCGGTTTGAAACCCACAACATTGTTTTGACATTGTCACACTGACCTTCCTTCTTTATATCTTTCCCTCCCTACTTTCTTGTCTTTTAGCTCATAAACCTGAAGCCAGGGCCTGTCTCTCATTATTTTTGATTAATGTGAACTCCTGGGAAATGATAGTTGCCTGAAAACGGGACTAGAAATATAACCAACTAACTTGTTTCACAGCTAATGGCCCCAATCCAACCAATGTTAGTCATGAAGAGCAATGGGACTACAGTATATGGTGACTAGCACTTCACTCCAAACCCTGGCTTAGCAGCCAGGGGGGCAGCTAGCTGCATTTCATTTGAAAGTTCTTAGCTATATCCACAGAAGAGAAGGCAAAGCCCAGCAAGAAGTTGCATAAGAATTGTTGGTTACTAATATCTCCATGAGAGTTGGTTCATGAGACTTCATGAGAGTCCCATGGACTGCAAGAAGATCAAACCTATCCATTCTTAAGGAAATCAGCCCTGAGTGCTCACTGGAAGGACAGATCCTGAAGCTGAGACTCCAATATTTTGGCCACTTCATGAGAAGAGAAGACTCCCTGGAAAAAACCCTGATGTTGGGAAAGATGGATGGCACAAGGAGAAGGGGACAACAGAGGACAAGATGATTGGACAGTGTTCTCGAAGCTACCAGCATGAGTTTGACTAAACTGCGGGAGGCAGTGGAAGACAGAAGTGCCTGGCGTGCATGGGGTCACGAAAAGTCGGACACCACTAAACAACAACAGCAATATCTTCACATGCATCAGGAAGATTTTGGGCATTGCATGGCAGGACAGAGTCTCAAACAAAGATGTGCTCCGCCAAGGACACATTCCCAGCACGTTCGCACTCCTGTCTTGGCAACTTCTAGCTGGCTTGGTCATGTCCACCAAATGGAAAATGGCAGGATCTCCAAGGATGTGTTCTCTATGAGAAGCTGGCTTTGGGCACTAGGCACTCTGTGTGGGAATACCTTGCAGACGACCACAGTGCCTGAAGACATACAGGTTGAGCGTCCATAGCAGTGACCAGAGGAGGAATGGCTGCTGGGTGGAGTGCAGAGGAAGAAACGCCATGGTGTATTTGCAGCAGGACAACTGGACACCTTCATCTGACCCAGCTGCAACCAAACATGTCTCTCCTGAATTGGTCTCTACAGCCACAGCAGGCACTTTAACTCTCTAACAGATTAACCTCACCCCCCCCCCAAGGCACACTCCCTCACTGTGTCCCGAGACAGATGACTGCCCATATCCCATGAAGACCTGTCATAAAATTTTCTACTTTTTAAGAAGCATTTCCAGTAGCCACAGTATTTCATTCAGCGTCTTAGACTACAACAACGCCCCTTAGCATTGTGCTAACCTATATTCCTATGAATAATCAATTACCAGGCAACATTCAATACCTTGTTGTTAACATATGAAGACATCAGCAACTCAGAACCAGGTTACCCAAAAGACCACTTTCCTCTGTACAGACCTGTAAGATCACTTAGATCATCTGGTGAAAATCTATTTGTGGTAGTGCACCCTACAGAATATTATAGGATGGGGACCTGAAAACAGGCATTTCCTGCTGTTGCCCTTGTTTTGTGGAATAGCCTTCCCTCTGCCATACTCAAAGCAGCAAAAATCTGTTGCTTTAGATATCTTGCAAAGACTTATCTTTTTGTCCAGGCTTTCCCTGACCCATAAGATTGGACCCTGATTTTTGTCTATTAATCCCCTTAATCTGCCTTATTTGCATTTACGTTTTTATACTGATTTATTGACTGTAGGCAGTATCTTTGTTTTTCATGGACATTGTTTTTGTATTGTACATAGTGTACACACTTAGAGATTTTAAGATTATGAAGCAGTTTAGAAATGCATTGAAATAAATAAGTAATCCACAAGAAACACGAATATATTTCTCAGGCAATACACACACACATCAGTCGAACAGAAATTTCAGAATTCATAGGCTTAAGACTATTTACATTTACCCAGAAATGCTGATCTGCTGAATGTTCTCCCCAAGGAAACGGCACTACCACCATCATTCTAGGCACAAGACTAAGACCTTTTCTTTCCTCAGGTAATGAAGATGGTGGTTCTCATCTTTTATTAGAGTGGGTAAGACCTGTGATTATTATGTTATTGGAGGAGCATTTTAGATAGTCTGGGCTGGATTCAATTAACCCGGTGCACTAGTGCAAATCAGTGCAAAGACTCCTACTAGTGCAACAGGGTTTTCCTCCTCTCCTTCCACCCTGTGTGCTATCTATTACTATCTATTACAGGACAACCACCAGAACAGCATGCAGAGGAAGAGAGGGGAATTCATTCTGTTTGGCACTGACAGAACAGTCCAATTACAGCCATGTTGAGTTCCACCCTTTGCATTATAGATTGTTTTCCATT